ACTCATCCAGGCGCGACCATACTCATGCCTGATGGCATCCTGGAAATGACCCAGGCATATGGGGAACAGACCCTGCCCAGAGCACGTGAGATCCATGCAGCTGATTCCCATTTCCCAGCTGGGCAGACTGAGGGCAGCCGGGGCGTATACTGTACCTGTACCCCTGCACTTCACGTTCCTGGTAAAACCCATCCTAGAACACGGGGCCTCTTTCAGCCAGGCAAGCCTGCACCTGGCTGAGCGCACAGGCTTGGCATCAGAACACCCTACTTCTAGTTCTGGCTCTGACACTGACTTGCCATGTGACCTTGAGCACAGGCTCCTGTCTGTGCCTCATTTTCCTCATCTGTAAAATGAGCGTAAAGTTGATGGCAGCCTCACCTGCCTCATGGGAGTACGTGAGAGTAGAGATGTGAACGAACCTTGGAGGACAGGACGCCACCCAGGCCAGGTGCGGCCCTGGGAGCGTGTAAGGGCTGTTCTCAGTGTCTTTGGCTGGAGGAGTGCTTGTTAGTGTGGAGCTGTGCCAAACAAGGCAAATTGGTTCCCAGTATGATCCCACCTCCCTCTGCCAAAACACCTATTAGGGGCTATGTGCTTCCTGGACTTCATAATTGCTAACATTGGTTGAGCACCCACGTTGTACCAGGAGGCATTCTGTGTGCCTTAGGGCATTTGATCCATACAGCACCTCTGTGAGGTAGCCACTATTATCATTCCCATTGTGCAGATGAAGAAACTGAGCTCAGGGATGGGAATACCAAGTCCCAGAGGCCGTCAGCGTGGGTGGCAGGATGTGGACACAGGCGATCTGAGAGCAGGGCTCTTACCTTCCACCACTGAGTGTGGGCCTTGGGTTGTCCTGTGACCGTCAGCCAGCCTCAGCACTTGCTGGCTGAGAACAGCTTCTTGTGCGATCCACTCGGGATCTAGGGGAAACGCATTTTTAGAGGGGACTCTGGAAATTCAAAGCCTTCTCCCCCTCTACCCAGCAAAATCCACTCTATCTTTCAGAGTCCACACAGGCCCCCTCCTCCTGAAAGGCTCCCGATCCCCCAGCCCACAGGGTCCGGCGCCTTTCCGTTCTATCTCTCATTTACTCTCAGCACTGAGCAGCCCCTGCCAACCCCTGGCATGTGTGGGTCTCAGCTCCCTGGTGCACATCCCTCAGCCCTGGCTCTGATCAAATCTCTAAAGTAAGAGACAACCTTTGTTATAAACGCTGGCTGGCTGGCTTCATTTGGTTATTAGAACAGGACACAAATAAGAACAAAAGTCAAGTCACCCTCAAGAAATTAGTACTGAAAGGTGTCTGGAGCCAGATTTCTATGATGCATTTCTGTGGTGGGAGGTCCTCTCACCCTTTCCCCTCCCTCCAACCCCCCACTTCTCTGTTCTGCTCTCAGAAGCACCCCTGTCTGTCTTTAGGTGGTAAACTGAGGGCAAGATCCCTTCTCTTGGTAGGGAGAGAGGGGAATGCAGCTAAGTTACGTGAGCCAAGCAATGTTCTCATTTTACAGTTGAATAAACCGAGGCCAGAGATGAGATGTGCTGCCTTTTTCAGGCAGGGCTACATGGACATGCTGGGCGCTGGACCCTGCACTGTGGGCAGAGGCCCTGGGCGGCTGGGGTGGCCTCCTGGCCTCTGGAATGGGAGCCACGCCTGAGAAGATTCCACCTGCCCAGCATTCTTCCTCTTGAATCTCCTTCCTCCATTTCCAAGCATCCCTTCCCCTTTCCCTCCTCCTCCTTTAGTCTGACCTAGCTGTATATCTTTTCCTACTCCCTTTGTACCAAAGGATCTTATTTTGCGCCAAGCCTCTCCTGGCTGTTGAGAGTCTTTGTTTTGTTTTGTCTTATCTTGTTGTGTGTGTGTGTGTGTGTGTGTGTGTGTGTTCTCTTTCCTGAGTGTGTTATTCCTGGAGACAGACTGCCCAGGCTTGGGCGATGGGAGGGAGAAGTAGGAGGGCCTGGGTGGGAAAGAGGGAAGGTGGGGGTGGGGCATGGCCACCCCTTTGGAACACTGCTGTCCGGGTCGTCCAGGGCATGAGAATCTTAGGGTCATCAGGGAAGCTCCCAGAGTGCAGGGCAGGGACACTTCTTCCCAAAGAGACAATGAAGCAGCGTCAGCCCTTGCCTCGTGCCTGGAAAAACAGCCCCAGCTACACAGTGACACCCTCTCCTCCAGGAAGGGCACCAACCCTCCAAACCAGGCACTGCGAGAAGTCGCTGCTGGGCAGACCAGCCTTGGGTCCAGGGCCACCCTGGCCTGTTGCCCTTTCCTCATCCAAATCTACTTGGGGCTTCTAACTTCTCATGGTCATGACACTGGTCATTAGATTTCCCATGACCACCCAATGACAAGATGAGGCCACAGGAGCCCAGACAGCTGGAGCCGCCTCCCAAAGCCTCCCAGCTCCGGGCTTCTGGCCCCGGTCTCAAGCAGACATGGCTGCAAAAGCACTAAGATGGGACATTTAGGTGAAGGGACAGCAGTGTCCACCCCTCAGTGAGCTTGGATGGGACACAGACCACCGATACATGGTCCAGTGGGTTCAGCTCCTCTGTTTAAGAAGGCGGGGAAAAGCTTAAAGAATTGTGGGGATTTTCCCCTAAAATAACATTTAAGAAAATTTTTATCTTGAAAGGAATAAGCCCTTAGCAAGCAAGAAAACTTGGCTCTGCTTTCCTGAGGTTTTACTGATTGGGGCTTTTCACTTTACAGTTCAAGGGGCATTTCATCCACAAAGTCTTTGCAGATGGGAGGGTCTCTCTGAGGGTTAGGACCCTGCTACCCATATGATTCTTCGTGAGAATTAGAAAAAGGTGTCATTTCCTTAAAACGTATTTAGTTTTTTAAGAGACCGGTAAGTTGTTTTACAGAGTGGCTGTACCATTCACACTCCCACCGGCACTGTGAGCGACCAGTTTCTCCACACCCTCGCCAGCATTTGGCATCAGCACTATTTGTTATTCTAGCCATTCTGACAGGTGTGTAGTGATGGCTCATCCTCTTCCGTGAACCTTGCGATATCTTTCTCACCGTTGTTCTGTCCCTGTGAATGCTGTTAGAACCAGGCCCTTCTTGGCCTACTCTGTGCATCCCCAGTTCCTGGCACAGGGAGAACCTCAGTAACTATATAGGGAATGAATGCATGGCCTGTGGGGTCTCTGGCCCTTTAAAGACCAAGAGGCAGGAAAGCAATGAGGCCTTCATGCTGGGGAACCTTCTGAGCCCCTGCCAGGTGGGATGGCTCAGGGCAGGCTCAGGCCCTCTGGGATGGAGGAGAAGGAGCACCCAGCACCCTGTGTGCCGCACCAGGTCCCTGGTACCTCCCAGCCTCACTCGGGGCACATTCTGTGGGCCTGGCGCTCTTCACTGCCCACGCCCACTGCATCAGTGTTCCCAGGGCAGGCACATCCAGAAGATAAATGTGTGGGGATTTCCAAGCTCCCCCTGGGGTGTGGGGCTTTCAGGGTTTGGTTTTCTTTTCTTTTCCTCCCTGCTGTAACTGCACCAGGGTAAGGACCAGGCTGTGGGCCACGCTCAGGCTCTGCCCTGAGTAGCCGGCCCGCTGTGCACCGGCATGAACACGGGCATGGCTGTCTGTGCAGGTTGAGTCTGCTGAATTGGCTGGGAGTTCTGCTCCCTGAAGAGCGGGGCTGCCTGTTGTCCTGGGTCCAGCATGTCACCTTCCTGGTGGCCATCCCTGGTCACACTTGGTGTTTACTCTGTACAAGGCTACGGTGCCTCAGGGAGGTTCTCCCCCAGGGGTGTGTCCCTGAAGGATCAGAATACAGACACGATGAGTTAACTAATGATGCGCTCTTGAATTTAATATTGATTTAAATTGTGTATTTATAGGTGAAATGGTCCATAGATATGCATATATAGGATGTCAGTGTTTAAAAGAACAAAAGATCAAGAATTGCAAATGAAAGAAAACTTCAACAACTAAGATGAAAACAGAAGAAAGGTCAGGAGGCAAAATATTTACCTGAAGGCCCCCATTCTCGTGCTAAAAAAGGGCCACAAAATTGGTCTCAAGATTCCTAGGAGCTATGCCAGTCTGCTTGGGCGCCATAACAGAGCACCTCAGACTGGGTGGCTTAAACCACAGAGATTTATGTGCTCATAGTTCTGGAGGCTGGAAGCCCAAGATCAAGGTGTTGGCAGGGTGGTTTCTTCTGAGCCTCTCTCCTTGGCCTGTAGACGGCTGTCTTCTCCCTGTGTCTTTACATGGCCTTGCCTGTGTCCTAACCTCCTTTTACAAGGACACCGGTCAAAATGGATCAGGGCCCACTTATATGACCTCGTGTGAACCTTAATCACCTCTTTGAAGGTCCTACTTCCAAATCCAGTCACTAGGGGTTAAGACTTCAAACTATGAATTTGGTGGGGGACACAACTCAGCCCGTAACAGCAGCCAGTAGTGGCCAGATGTTAGTCTGCGACAGGAGTCAGAGGAGCTGTGAAATAAACCAGAGCCTTTTCTCAGCAGCAGCAGCACCAAGTCGTGAGAGAACATTCCCCCTCTGGCCCTTGACCCTCAGACGCTGTGTGAGGAAGCAGTGGACGTGGCTCACTGTGGCAGCTGAGGGTCACGTGGCTGGCCTTCCTGCTGTCTCACCATTGCACATTAACAAAGTTGAATTCAGTGAAATCATGCCCATGAGAAACATACAGCCTTTGCTAAACAGCATACACCGACTGCCCTAGGAGAGCTCAACTCCAAGGCCTGAGGGTCCAGGAAAAGACCCCATGGTACAGTGAAAAGCCCCAGCTTGAGGGCTGGGCTCTGCCTTACAAGTAAAATTTAGAAAAGCTGAGAAGCAGGAGGGCTGGATTTCTGGTGGAGGGGAAATCTTAAGCAAAGGCGTGGGTGGTTTGGGCCAGCGTGCCCACCGGCCTCGCCTCCCTGGTCCAGCATTCCAGAGCTGGGTCCCCTCCTGGCACCGTGTCCCCTAACCCTGGTCTCCCTCTCTGTGTCCATCTGCAGGGCTCTGGCTGAGACCATGGCCAATGGCATTGACGAGCTCATCGGCATTCCCTTCCCCAACCACAGCAGCGAGGTCCTGTGCAGCCTGAACGAGCAGCGACATGACGGCCTGCTCTGCGACGTGCTCCTGGTGGTGCAGGAGCAGGAGTACCGCACCCACCGCTCTGTCCTGGCAGCCTGCAGCAAGTACTTTAAGAAGCTCTTCACAGCCGGCACCCTAGCCAGCCAGCCCTACGTCTACGAGATCGACTTTGTCCAGCCCGAGGCCCTGGCCGCCATCCTGGAGTTCGCCTACACCTCCACGCTCACCATCACTGCTTCCAACGTCAAGCACATCCTCCACGCGGCCAGGCTGCTGGAGATCCCGTGCATCGTGAACGTGTGCCTGGAGATCATGGAGCCTGGCGGGGAGGGGGGGGCGGAGGACGACAAGGAGGACGACGACGACGACGAGGATGACGACGATGAGGAGGATGAGGAGGAGGAGGAGGAGGAAGAGGATGAGGAGGAGGAGGATGATACAGAGGATTTTGCAGATCAAGAGAACTTGCCTGACCCCCAGGACATCAACTGCCACCAAAGCCCTTCCAAGACGGACCATCTCACAGAGAAGGCCTATTCAGACACCCCCAGGGACTTCCCGGACTCCTTCCAGGCCAGCAGCCCTGGCCATCTGGGCGTGATCCGGGACTTCTCCATTGAATCTCTGCTGAGGGAGAACCTGTACCCCAAAGCCAACATCCCCGACAGGAGACCCTCCTTATCTCCATTCACCCCGGACTTCTTCCCACACCTCTGGCCAGGGGACTTTGGTGCCTTTGCCCAGCTGCCGGAGCAGCCCATGGACAGTGGGCCACTGGACCTGGTCATCAAGAATCGGAAGATCAAGGAAGAGGATAAGGAGGAGCTTCCCCCACCCCCGCCACCGCCCTTCCCGAATGACTTCTTCAAGGACATGTTCCCAGACCTTCCTGGGGGGCCGCTGGGCTCCATCAAGGCGGAAAATGACTATGGTGCCTATCTCAACTTCCTGAGTGCCACCCACCTGGGGGGTCTCTTCCCTCCCTGGCCGCTGGTGGAGGAGCGCAAGCTGAAGCCCAAGGCCTCTCAGCAGTGCCCCATCTGCCACAAAGTCATCATGGGGGCCGGGAAGCTGCCGCGGCACATGCGGACCCACACCGGGGAGAAGCCATACATGTGCAACATCTGCGAGGTCCGCTTCACCAGGTGCGCACCGCAGCCCCCAGGTGGGCGGCCCCAGCTGGGGGAGGGGCGGAGGCTGCAGCCCTGAGAGCAGAGAGGGCGAGGGCGGGGCAGGGGGGCTGGGGCGGAGAGAGGGACTCCGTTCGGGGGAGGTCCCACTAGATCCTAGATGCACGTCAAGTTCATTGCTAGAAGGTGTGCTGGGCATTACTGGGTGCAGTCATTTTCAAGCTCTTTTTAAGAGCTAAAATATTTTCTTAAAAAAAATTTTTTCCCCCTTAAACACAGCATTAGGTGGAAGGCGAAGATATAAAACCGACTAGAGCGGAGCTGTTCTGGTTAAGGCAGCAGTGAGGGGCGCAGTGCGCTGCTTGGTGGCCTCCGCCTCCCCTTCCCCACTGTAGATCCACAGAAGCCCGGAGAGCTCCCCGAAGGAGTGCAGCCCCTTTATCTAATCAGAGCATGTTCAACATGCCGGGGGCTGTCCTCAGCATGTTCCGTGTCCTCTCACGCCAGCCATGCCCAGGGAGGCGGGGGCGATGCGGCCTGTGCACAGAGGAGCGGTCTGTCTCCCGGAGCCTCGCTGGCCTCTCCTAAGTGCAGCTGGAAATGACAGAGCGGGGACCTCCTTGTATGACAGCAAAACCTGTGACCAGGAGACGACAGAGAACGCTCAAGTTTTGTAGCCAAACCTAATGGGTGGGATGTGCAGGTCAGACTGTCCATGGATAGGTACTGATGGGCCTGATTTGGAGAAAATACGGTGTGTTGGTGCTGTCTGTGGTCACCGGTGGGAGGCTGATCTTCCCAGCCAGTCCACAGTGGGGAAGTTCTGGTGGGTGGCCCTGCATCCGTCGGTCATTTCAGTGTGTCGGATGTAGACAGAGCCTGGCGGATGTGTGCCCTGTGACCATGATGAGGTCACAGGACCTACTAGATGAGGTCCTTGCCCCCACTGCCTGTCACAGAAGTCGCCTCAAGAGACCCACACTTACGCCAGCGGTGCTGCCGTCACCCACACCTTCTTGGAAAGGTACCTGTGGGAAGTGCTAGGGGCTTGTCTCTTGATTTTCTTCAATGAGCCCAAAGCTTTGGACTTTGAAGATAAAGTGAAAAGTTTTGAAATCATGTCAATTATTGAATCAGGGCCATGTTTTTCCAGGGGAAACAAGGTCTATAAAGTCACGAGACCTGCTCTTTTGGGTGGCGAGAGGTTTGCAGAGAAGGGCATCAGAGACACGTTTAGGTGACAGTGGCATTGCTAAGGTAGGCTTACTTAGTGAAGGCCTTGAAGGACAATGCTGATTGTTTCCAAGTGGCCTTGGGGTCCCCACACAGCTGCTTCTTTGAGGGAACCACCAAGCCTAATCTCTCCCAGACGCTGAGCTAACAGCAGAGGGAGAATCTCAGGTGCAGAGCAGCTGGACCTAAAGTGCTGGAGACCTACCTGCCCTCAGGTGTCTTGCACGCATGGCCCTGCCACTCTGATGCTCCCTCTCCCGCCCCACCTCCTCCTGAAGTCACTTAGCCCCGCCCGAATAAGACTGACAAAAGCCCAGGGTAACAGGAGGGAGATCAACCAGAGCACAATCCAACCTCAAGTACAGTTCACTGATTTCTAGCCCTTGGCTCCCCAGCCCAGCCCCAGGGAATGACTTCAGAGTTGACACTCCATGGGCCTGGTCTGACGAAGGCAGCTCCCGAGTGACCCAGAGCTTCCTCTCCTGCCATCCAGGGTCCACCTGCCTGATGTTCATGCCTGTCCCCTACACAGAAGGCTGCCACTGAGACACCTCTCCCTGCTGGAGAGACTCAGGTCCATGGCTTCAAGGGGATACAGTCTCAGGGTACTGCACAGTGACCCTGCCCAGCCCTCCATCTTCATTCCCACCCTGTTCCTGCCCTCCAGGCCTTTCTCACAGTGTTCTGTGAGGACTGGGCCTGTCCATGGCCCTTCCCTGGGGACAGTCTTAAACTTGCCAGTCACTGCAGACAGAATGCTCGCCCTCCTAGCACGAGAACATTCTGAGCAGGCCTCCAGTTTGGGCAGCAATGCCGGGTCGCACAGGAGGGCTGCATTCCAGGCCCCTCCCTCCCGCACATTCCTGATGATCACTTTGGGTGGCCTCTGCCTGCGATCTCACCACCCTGGGGTCAGGTCAGCCCGCGGGGCTCCGGCCATCCAGCCGCCTGCCCTGCCCTCCCTGGAGTTTGCCCTCCTCAGCAGACAGACGGCATCAGCCCCCAGGCCGGCTCCAGCCGCAGCAGCTGCATTCCAGCCCCCAGAAGCACCTCCCCTCACTCTCCCCCTCACTGTTCCCACTGGGCTCTGACAGTCCTGAGAAAGATCAGAAAAGCTCCTGCCCGCCCCTCCCCTTCCTGGGAGGCTGGAGGAGATTTCCTGCTCCTGGAATAAGAGACTGTGTTTCTCACCGGGACTGTGGCTGTCCCTGTCCAACACCTCTCCACCCCCTCCCTGGACATTCTTCAGAATCACTGGTTCCTGGCTTCCCTCCTGCCACCTCCCTGGAGATGCCCTGCACGGACTCCTTTTGGTCCTTGGAGAGTGCCAGTGCGGGTCCAGGCTGGGGTTTCCTGTAGCTGGCTGGAGCCATCTCCCCTCGCAGCCTTGCGGAGACCTCTGTGGCTGACTTCCCGGGCCCATCCTGACACCTTTCCTCACTCCCCAGCAGGAGGCTCTTCAGCAGCCGTTTAAAGCAACAGCTGCGGCCTCTTTGACTCAGAATTCCCAGACTCCCTTGCAGGGCCAAGCCACTCCCTGGGACTGGGCACCCAGAGGTCGAGGGCCCCCGGGCCTGCTGCCCTCAATCCTCCACTTGGACAGTTTCCCTTTCTGAATCTCAGCTGAGCTTCTGCTGGCTGCCAGGCCTCCTTCCCTTTCTCCCCAATGCTGACCCACCTCCCATCCCTTTTGGGGGACGTTGGGGGGCTACCCTCCCCCTGCAAGGTGGCCCTTTGGCACAGGCTCCAAATTATGGCCTCAGATGCCAGTGCCCAGAATGTCCACACACCATGAGGACATCGTTCCTAATGACTTTGCAGCCACAATGGGGGCGGGGCATCCTTCCCTCCCGCAGCCCCTCCCGCAGCCTGGTTGTCCGAGCTGCCCCAGCTCCAGCTGGGCAGGCAGGTAATGAAGGCATGAACTGCAGGATTTGTGAAGGGACTAGTCCCTGAGCAACAGTAGTCCCATCCTGTCCCTGGGAAAAGACGCACAACCTTTGCACCCTGAGCAGTCACCCTCTGGTGAGCCATGATCTCACCAGTTTCCACTGGATCCCCGGCCAACATCCCCTAAAGGCTGCAACTCGGGTCCTCAACACCGGCCTCTAGTGTGAGCCGGAATCGCTTCTGCGGCCAGCAGCCGGCTGCTCTCGGAGCAAGGCCAGGAGCCGGGCTTCTTTTCTGTTCTGTATTTTCCTTTTAGTCCTCCCACTCCTGGCAGCTCTGGGGACCTTATTAAGATAATGTAATGTCATTAGCAGTGGCAGCAGGAAGAGAGTTGTTCTCAAGCCATCAGGTTACCAAGAAGTCCGGGAGGATGGTGCTGGGAAAGCATTAGCCTGAGCGGGCGCCTGAGTAGAGGCCCAGGAGCCGAGGCGAGACCTCAGCCCCTGCCTTTCACTTGGGGATGCTCATGAGTGTGGGCACATCCTTCTCGAGGGTGAGTTCTCCCGGCCGGAAAGGGGAATGCAGATCAAGGTTTGGGAGCATGTGACCTGGCTGATCCCTGGTGCAGGGTACAGGAATGAGATGCCAGACACAGGGATCAGGGTAAGAGAGGACCATGTTGGATTTGGAGTTGCGGACCCTGAAAACTGGCCCTGCCCCAGCAGGTCATCGGTCAGTAACAAACGCTCCAGGAGCATCCACTCCACAGTCGGTGTTGTACACCGAGCAGAGGACAAAGGCGGCTGACAGGTTCTTATCGAAGCAGGTCCCAGCGCCATCGCGCCGCGTGCTGGTGAGAAAGCAGCACCGGGCACACACAGCTGCTGACTGAGGGACGACAGAGCTCAGTGTCTCTCAGTGGACTGTGGTACCTCAGAAAGGGCACTGGAGGGGTGACGGGAACCCAGGTCCAGGGCCTGGTTCTGCCTCTAACTAACTGTGTGACTTTGGCCAAGTCTCCTCCCTTCTCTGGGCCTCAGTTTCCCCATGTGTAACATGAGGGGGTTGGAGCAGGTGCTCCCTAAGCTTGCACCCAGTTTTCTGACCTCATTCACATGTTGCCCAAGATCAGGAAAGCTATGGACACATGACTGCACCCTCTTTGCCTTCATTTCCTGATAGGAGGGAACTAGAGGTCCAACTCATGCCAGCAGGTGTTCAACAATGCAAAGCTGACCAGCACGTGGCCTGCTGGGGGGCTGCCCATCCATGTGGTGTGTGGGTGCAGTGCTACCTATGGGGATGGGTGGGGCTGACCAGGTAGGTGGGGTGATCTTTTCTTCCAGCTATAATTGACATATATCATTGTATATGTTTAATTCAATGTGATGATTTGACATGTGTGTACATTGCGAAATGATTACCATAATAAGGTTAGTTACCATTCATCACCTTGAATAGTTACCTTTTTAGTGTGGGTTTCGTGAGAACAGTTAAGATCTACTCTCTTAGCAACTTGGAAGTATACACTACAGTCTTGCTAACTGTAGTCACCAGGGGTCTCCAGAACTTAGTCATCTTGTCACTAGAGAGGATGAACTTGTCAAGAGCCTGGATAGCCATGCTAACAGGTAAGTTAGCACATGGGCCACTGGACAGAGGAAGCCTCGGGAGAGTTTAAGCAGGACCACAGACCTCCAGTCCTGGCAGGAAGTGATCAAGAGCTCAGATCCTGAGGTTCAGGCTAGAACACTTTCCAACTATACTCATGCTATCTCTACGAGAGCTCCGATTCGTGAAGAAGCGGGCATAGAAGAACCATAATACAAACAGGAAGCCAACTAGCACAAAAAAAATTTGATTATAAGCCCATTACTCGGATGCAAACACAGAACACCAGAGGTTCAGTGGTACAGCCAGCCCCCCCAGGTTAGAGGTCAGGAGACAGGCCCAGGTCCAGCCTTGCCTGTGCTCATGTGCGTCGCAGCCACATGAAAAAGTCATGACAGGAATGAGGAGGCTGTGTGGCCTTAGAAAGCCCTTCCCTCTCTGGCCCTTGGTCTCCTCATCTTGAGAGTGAGGGAACTGGATTAGATTGGTATTTTTAAGGTCCTGGGAAGTGTACCACTCATAACGCAGGTTACTGGGCCCCCTGACTCAAACTATGGATCAGAACATGCTCGGATGCTCTCAGTAAACTAGATGATCTCGAAGTTTTTCCAGGACTAAAGTTATCGTGATCTTTGCCCACTGTACTCACCCTCTGCCCTGCTGCCATGACGAGCCTCCGCTAGGGACAGCCAGCCCCTGCCCAGGCCAAGCTCCTTCCACAGCATGCCCCAATCTTCCGGGCCCAGCGGCAGAGAGCTGGCACCAAGTGCCCTGCTCCGACTTTTCCGGTCTTCAGTTTCTGGGGCAGCCCTTATGGGCCTTGGGCCAAGAGTCCCAGGTTTGAAAATCCACCCTTTTTCAACCTCAGAACAGCTTGCAAACAAACCACACCCCCAATAGCCTCCCAGCCCTTTGCCCATCACCTCTGGATACCTTTGGGAAAACTGCTTGACTTGTCTGAGCCCCAACTCTTCCTCTAAGGGAGGAAATTATTCCAGATGTGTTAAATCTAACACACACAAATATAGATTCTCTCATCAGCCCCGAACAGTAGGCATTGATGTCTGCCGAGGTTCAGCTCTATACAAAGGGGTTAAGTAACTTGTCAAAGGGTGACCCAGCAAATTATTGGTGGGTCTGCTGCTACAGCAGGGGCTCCAAGACCCCAAATGGGGACCCACCCCTACACCATAACTTGCCTCTGAATAAGAGCCTTTCAGTGTCACTGAAATGGTATATTCACCTGCCCCATAGTAGGTGCTCAATAAAAGGAAGATATAATCACCTTCTTGGTACTTCTTACACATTTGAGTCAATTGCCATTGAAATGTGATTTTTTTTTTATGCCCGAATGAAAATCTTGGGAGAAGCTGTACTTAAGTATAGTAGGCCCTTGATATTAGAGGATTTACCATTTGCATTGTCCATTATTTGAGAGTGACCCTCAGGGTCAATACCACAAATTATGTGTAATAGTGATTTTTAAAAAAACAAACAAAAAAAAATCTACCTTATAACGTGGTGGTGAGGCTTAAATAAGGTGATATATTTAAAGCCCCACTGATGACTCCAGGCTGAGCCCTCCACCTGGTGAGGGCAGGAGTCACACAGCCAGTGAGTGAGCCTAGCTGACCACCCACCCTCAGTGTTTCCATCAGAGCCTGGGTGAATGTGGTGAGGAAAGAAGCCTGGGCTGGGAGCCAGCAGGCCTGAGTTCTAGTCCCAGCTCTGCCATTAACCTCTGGGTGACCTCGGTGAGTGTCCCTCCCTGGGCCTCAGTGTGCCCACCTGCATGCAGAGTGCAGGGTTAGCCTAGGCCCCTGCTTCTCAAAGTGGTCCATGGACTAGCTTCCAGCAGCATCTGTCAACTTGTTAGAAATGCAAATTCCCTGTCCTCTCCACCCCAGACCTGAATCAGACTTTCTGGGAGTGGGGCCCAGCACTGCTGCATCGAGCCCTGGTAATGGTTCTGATGCATGCTCGAGTTTGAGACCCACTGGCCCAGAGGCTCTCTGAGGCTTCTTCCTTCTCTAACATCCAGTCACCTGGATCAGATGAGGGTTACAGGTGCCACAAGGGCAGCATGCTGGGGGTGGAGGGTGCGGGCATGGAATATCACAGCAGGGTACTATGCAGCCTGGGTGCAGCTACCGGTTTGTGGGAGGGACAGGGAATGTGGAAGAGAGGACACCAGCCAGCTCACTTCCTCCTTTCTGCCCATCCCACTTCCCACCCCCACTTCCATTTCCCAGGTCGTCTCCAGCATTCTTGTGAGCACAGGTGGAAGGGGCAGATCTGTCCTCTCTGGTCCTCCTCCCCTGGTCCCTGCCAGAGTACACAAGAACATCCTGCTCCACCCCTAGGGAACCAGTAGGAAAATGAGAGCCAGTGAGACCTCTAGTGGCCAGGGGACACCAGGAGACCAGGCCCTCTGTTCCTGATGTCCTGGGGTTATGTTGAGGGTGGTTTATTTAAATCTGGCCATTTTAGGCGGCCGCCTGAGCTCCACATCTGCTCCGACCTCAAAGCCAAGCCAAAAATTACAGGCAGACGTTCCACCCAAGCCACACCTGCAGGGAGGAGGTGGGAGACTGGACACACAGCTGCTTGGCCTGTGGGCCTGGCCAGGGAAGGCTTCAGAATGATCCTGAGAGAAGTCCTTGCAGCCCAGCTGATTCCCTCAGCCAGGCTGAACCGCTCCTTTAGCTGGTTCATGCAGGCTCAGTCTTGAAGCAACCCTGGGGTGTCAGTTTTCCTCTCAAGACCACCAGGATGTGTGTTGAATCTAGAACAACATAAACCCAGATTCTCTCCATCTGCTCTGGACAATAGGAATTGATGTCTGGCCCTAGGTTCAGCTCTGTGCAGAGAGGCTAAGTAATTTGCTTAAGGTCACCCAGCATGTTGGTGGTGGGTCTGCAGCTGGAGCAGGGGCTCCCAAACCCCCCGTGTGAGCCCCACCCCTGCACCATACCTTACCTCTGAATAATGCCGCTTAAACCTTGAGAAGCTTTGCCATAGATTAGGCCGCATTCTTGTTGCACCTGGCTCCTTTGTAAACCCTGGAATTGTCTGCAGACAAAGAGCAGAGTCCAGGGCTTGGGATATGAAACCACAGTGCAGGAGACTTGAGCAAGGTGTGCCGGCTTCTATAGCCTCCCAGATTAGCCCTGAGGACAGACAGAGCTCACCAGCTGGGCTGGGAAGGGCTGAGGGGCTCTGGGCACACGACACACTGGGGGGAAGTGCAACCCAGTATCAAAGGTCACTGCCCACCAGAGGACTGAGGACAGACTTAGGGGATGTGTGTTGCCAGTAGGTCTGATTTTCATTCTGTGAGATGGGCCCCTGATAGGGTGGGAGCTTCATTACTCAGAGCTTACAAGTAGAAGTGTTTCTGGCCTGGGGAGAAGGTCTTTCTCCAGCCCTATAAGCCAGGTGCTAACCACATCTGTTTGGGGTGGAGCAGGGGTTGAAGGTAAATCCCAGCATGGGCGTCATTCCTGGGGTTTGAGACCATGGTGTTATGGCAGGTGCTGGAAGGGGGAGGCAGAGGGTTGGGAATGGCTCCCACTGTTGCCCCGCGGGGACTGACTCCCGGCCCTGCCTTGCAGGCAGGACAAGCTGAAGATCCACATGCGGAAGCACACAGGGGAGCGGCCCTACCTGTGCATCCATTGCAACGCCAAGTTCGTGCACAACTACGACCTCAAGAATCACATGCGCATCCACACCGGCGTGCGACCCTACCAGTGCGAGTTCTGCTACAAGAGCTTCACGCGCTCGGATCACCTGCACCGCCACATCAAGCGCCAGAGCTGCCGCATGGCGCGGCCGCGACGAGGCCGCAAGCCCGCTGCCTGGAGGGCCGCCAGCCTGCTCTTCGGGCCCGGGGGCCCGGCCCCTGACAAGGCGGCCTTCGTGGTGCCCCCGGCGCTCGGGGAGGTGGGCAGCCACCTGGGCGGGGCCGCCGTGTGCCTCCCGGGCCCCAGCCCCACCAAGCACTTCCTGGCGGCCCCCAAGGGCGCGCTGAGCCTGCAGGAGCTCGAGCGGCAGTTCGAGGAGACGCAGATGAAGCTGTTCGGGCGCGCGCAGCTGGAGGCCGAGAGGAACGCGGGGGGCCTCCTGGCCTTCGCGCTGGCCGAGAACGTGGCCGCCGCGAGGCCCTACTTCCCGCTGCCCGACCCGTGGGCCGCGGGCCTGGCGGGCCTCCCCGGGCTCGCCGGCCTCAGTCACGTGGCCTCCATGTCCGAAGCCAACAACTAGGCTGGTCCTCGTCCGCCCCGGTCCGGCTGCCCGGCCCCATCCAGTGGATCTGAACTGATTTCCAAACCACAAAGAAAAAAATGAAAAAAATATATACCCGCAGCAATGGTCTTTTCCAGGCCTCCTGAGGCAGCTGCCCCCATTGCTGTGTCTGACACGGGCGTCTCCTGGCGGCTGGGCCACCTCTCCCTGTCCCTCTGTCGCACAGGAACTCGCAGGGTCCCACGCCCGGGAGGAGGCCTCACGGGTGCCCTGGAGCACTTGGGAGCTGCGCACTGTGGGCAGGTGGCCAGGCCAGAGGCAGACCGGATGGAGCAGGGAGGAGGGCAGGGGCCTGGGGCACCACCCTCCTACTGCCCTATGGCAAAGTCCCTGCTGACGCCGTTCTGATGGGTCATTTTTCCAGTCTCCCGAGGTCCTGGGATCCTATGGGAAATGCCGTATTGGCAGAAGGGCCTCCTGGAGTCCAGGCCCATTTTTCCCTAACTGCCCTGTGACCTTGAACAGGTCAGCTTTCTGTACCCCAGCTCCACCCTACTATGAAGGAGGGCTGGTCATTTAGCTGTCCCTCCCCCACCCACCCACATGTACATGCCTGAACCTCTAAAAACAACCCTTGTGAGGTAGCAGCTGTGCACTCCTGAGGTCGCTGATGAAAGTGGCCATGTTACGAGATTTAGTCTTATCACACCCACCTCTGTATTACCACAGGTGAGACTTGTGGCCACACAGACACCGGTGACAGAGAGCTGGGGTGGGGATTGTCCACAGCCCACAGGCAGCTTTGGGGAGCTGTTCTCTGGGCCAGCCATGAGGCATGCGGGTGTCTATCCCCCCTCCACACACCCTCCAAAGCTGTAGGGAGTCTCTTGGGACTCCTGAGGCCAACAAAGAAGGGATGGAGACCATGTCTTAACACCTGTCAACTGCCTGCCTCTAGTTTGATCCCTGGAAATAGACAAAGCTCCTGGTTCCCCAGGTTTATCTGTTTGCTTTGCAAGTTGTGGGTTTGTCTTTGCTGCATTTGAACACCCTCGAGCCCTCCCTCGGGGAATGGAGCTGGGGTGTGTGGCTGCCCTCAGGGCGGGGAGGCTGAGCCTTGGCTCCGGCATGGGTTTGAAGGGCTCTATGAGTTGGGGCCATCCACACACTCTCCCTGGCTCTCGAGTTTGTAGCAGGTCCTGAGAAGGAAGACAGCTCTGCTGGCCCAGTGCCTTCCTGATCCTCGTTCCTCTTTCCTGCCTCCCCTCCCTTTTCTTGCTGAGTTTGCTCGTTTCTCGGTAGCCAGGAAAGGAGGAGAGCTCATCTGCACGGATTGCTCAGGCTGGTGTCCCGGGTCCCAGAGCTGTGGGCCTCAGAGACTTCGCTCTTCCTCTCGCCTTGGCTTCTTTCTGAGCAAACACAAAAAACAAAAAGGCCAGAGAAGACCACAGACTCTGTCACTCCCTCAGCTCCCAGAAGAGACCCCTGACGCCACACACTATCAGATGCCATGACACCCAGAGGGAACTGCTTCGCACACCCTCTTATCTTCAGATGTCACCTTCGGCAGCCAGCCACCTCTTAGATTCCTGTCTCCATTCCAGACACTTGCCAATATGCCCATGTCCCCCCTTCAGCCAAAGGATTGGGGCTGACCCAAACTTTAAAAGAAAACAAGGAAAAATGAACAAATGGAAATCCAGTGGTATTGGGGCTTTTGTTTTTATTTTGTAAAGGTAATGACTTCTTATAAACTCAATTTTTCAGATGACTGGTTAGTTCTCTTTGTTTTCTCTTGGCTGCAGTTTGGAGTTGTACATTGTAAAAATATCCAAAGATGCTGAGTACTGTATGTTCGATAAGAACTTGAAGTAAGTGGGTTGTGGGGTAGGGGGTTGTGTTTTGTTTCTTTTTTTTTTTTTTTTGGATGTTTCAATTTCCCTGTCTATGGGGGAACTTTGGAATTTTTCTATTTATAACTCTTTTTTTTTTTTTATGTGATTGCTTTATGTAAAATGACACTCAACAAAGTTTGCCTTAGTGATTCAAGGGACAATCTTCTATAACTTTGGTCGCACGCCGCATCCCGCCGAGAAAAACTCTCAGCTAATTTTCTGGCCTATTTATTAAACGGTATTAATTGACTTGATTAAATTATATTGAAAGTTGCCCTTCTGTGAGAGGTGACAGCAACAAGCCAGTCTGTAGACATTCGTGGCTCAAGGTTTTGATGGTTGGGTGTCATGAACTTGTAATGTCAAAGACACCTTTACAAAACAACACAAACACTGGACCCTTATTTAATAATTTGCTCAAGTCCCTAGTTAAGGTTGACTTCCCCCTTCCAGTTCCCATTTCACTTGTCAGTGGGTGGTTGCATGGTAGGGAGGCCAGAACTCAATTCTCTAATGGTCTCCTGCATTTCCTCTTTGTGAGCCACTGTTTGATCATAAGCTTTGGACATCTGTGAGCCTGAGTGCAAGGGGTGTGTGTGTGTGTGTGTGTGTGTGTGTGTGTACAAGTGCATGCATGCACACACGCATGCACAGGTGCAGCCTGTGGTGTGTGAGCAAGGGAAAGTCAAAGTGCATTGTAACACAGCCAGTCCTACTAGTTCTTGGTGTGGCGTGCAGGTGGCCCTGCTACCGTAACCTTGGCCTCCTGCCCCTTATCCCCTGGTACTGGATTGGACTTCTCTTCTCACCTGAGTCTTTTCCCAAACAGGGAACACTGGATCCAGAAGGAGGTAAGGATATCTACTCTGTCCTTGAATGGGGTCGACTCAGAACCCAGAACACAGACTCTGAATAAAATTATTCTTTGAATTGCATTTTCTGGATAGCCGAGGGTTACCCCAGAGCCCCTTCTCTGTTCCGCTCCCCTTTCTTGCCACGGTCAGCACGCTTACAAACCTAATGCACATTTCTCAGTATAAGGAAAGAACAAACCTGGGTTTCAAATCCAGCCTCCTCCAGTGTCCTTAGGTTAATTACGTCTCTACTCCGGTCTTCACTTCTCTCCTGTAAAATCAAAGGAGGTTGAGTACCTCAGAGTGTCTCCAAGTTCTCTACCCAAACACCCCTCAGCAGAGAGGGCAGCCCATTGAGGGGCTGGAGACTGAACTCTAAAGAAATAGCCCTAAACAACCTTCCCACAGTGTAAAATTCTTCGGGAGTCTCCTGTTTTGGCTGTGAATTTCATGCTTCTACATGCTATTACATAAAATATGTGCATTGTCTCCATATAAAACTATTGTCTTAAAATACTTGACAGTTACATGACTTGCCTTTTCTCCAAAATCTTTTAGTGAAGTTAGAGTGTTTTCTTAGCTATCCTGAGAGGCCCCAGCTCATGGCTGAGGGCTTGGGCATAAGCATAGCCCAGTGCAAAAATACAAGGCCAGATGCTCATGAGTATTCCACTCAGCGTGGGCATTCTAGGATCATTGGGTCCTCATTCCAGGGGTGGTTGTCCACTGAGGGCCAGAGGTGAACATAGAGAAAGAATAGGGAACTGGGCACAAGGGGCCCTGATCTCGGGGTGTTCTCCATGTGAGTAAAATTTCCTCCAGCCCTGGCCAGGTGGGTGTTCATGCAGCCGTGCTGAGCATGGCCTGCTCCCTCAGGCCCCAGGGTGCTAAGGGAGTTGAGTGCTGACAGCAGAGGACCCTTCAGTGGAGGAGGGAGGGAGGCCATTGAGACAGGCCAAAGCAACCTGCGCATCCTGACCTGGAGGAGACGGGTGCATTCGTGCCGGCCTTGGAACGTCTGAAGGTGGAGAAAGGATTGTATCAAAATTTGGTCAATTCAAACCAAAAGGAGAGAGATTCCAGGAGGCAGCTGAGTGCCCAAACGCAGGGAGATAATTTCCTAACATCTGGAGTTGTCCTCAGGAGGAAGGAGGTCCTTCTCGAGGGAACGAGCAAGCAGAGGCGCAGGGTTCAACATCGCCTCTCAAGAACGAGATCCTGCATGGAAGGGGCGCTTTCTGGGTGGTCCCTTCCCTGGTCCCTTCCATCTGATTTGGAGAAAGGAGAATATGTATGTTATCTGTGACCATGGGCTGTGCCAGGGAGAGTGGCTGACAGGTGGAAAAGATGAGTTGGAACAAGTTCACAAAACTCACCTGGGTGGCCCCCAGCTGCACGCCCCAGCCACCTGGTAACCTCCAGTAACCTGGGGCCGGAGAAACAGGACTCTGTAGAAAAGTCCCTGGCTCTTGTTCTGAGGCCCCAAATATGTGACAGGAGACCGGCAGGGGACAAACAGGCAAGAAGACTGTCTCTCATCCTCAGCCCACGTCCGACCGCAGGGCCTGCCCTTTCAGAGGGGGTGCGGGGCCTCCAGAAGGTGTCCGCCTGCAGGGCCACAGAGGTCCCCGCCACATCCTGACAAACCCCTTCCCCACTCCTTCCTTCTCTCCTGGGACCGTGCTAGCTCTTCGTCCCAGAGGGTCCTCTGAGCTCACTGAACAGCACCACTGGGTGTCCCCTGGTGTGCACTTTCCCTTCTGAAAGCCCGGGCGGTAGGGCTTCTGAGGGAAAGAGAGAGGGTGGGGCAGGGAGGCCTCATCTGCCACAAGTCCTCTCCTCTGAAGAGCCTGTCCTTTGTGGGCGCAGCCCAGGAGGAGGCCCTGCAGGAGGGGGAGCAGCCTGCATGCAGAGGCCTCCAGGGACCAGGGACGAATTCTGAAGTCAAGCATGTTAATATCCAGTGGTCCCACCTCCCAGCCCCCCAGTGCCCTTATCTCGTCTTCTCCCGGTGCCCCTTCCTACAACTGCCCTTCAGGATGTGGTGCCCCCTCCTCTCTTTGCCCTCCCCTCTGTCCAAACCCTGACAGGAGCCACAGAGGGGGAACGTGACTCACGGGCTCCCTCTCCCGGCCTTGGCAGCCCCTGTTCCTCGTTCAGGCTGGAAAGAAAGGCCAGGAGCCGGGCGACATCAGGCCTCCAGCAGCAAACAGGGGTGGCTGATTTGGACAGCCAGCCCTGAAATCAGACCAGGGGGTGGTCACAGCCAGCCTGGGCCTCCCAGCCCCCACACCTCTCCCCACCCTGCTTCCCTGGTGCAGGAAGCAAAGTGCTGAGGACTCAGTCAAACATGCATTTCCAGCGATTGGTGGGGAGAGGATTCCCTGGGGAGGCCCCACTTGTTTTCCCTCTGTGCCACATCCTGGGCAGGGGCTGCTGTGACCTTGAGCCGTAGCACCCACATGGCCTAAACCGAACAAATATGGGCCCAGAAATGACTTCACAAATAAGGACGAGACATCTCAAATCTGGACAACTCTGGAAAACCTGAAAACTGATCGCTTTACCTGCAGCCAGACATGCACACACACATACACACATGCACGTGCATACACATACACACGTGCACACACACGCACACATGCATGCGCACACATGCACGCGCACACTCATGCACACACACATACACACATGCATGCACACACGCATGCACACATGCACACGCATGCAGTCATAAGACAAATGATACACAGCCTGATAGCATCAGCCCTGGAACAACAGGAGGCGCACAGTGCATGGACAAGACCCAGCAAAGTCACTTTCCCCACGTCTCCCTGCTGGAATATGTATAACACACTCTCATTTTCATCCCTGTGGTTCCTCTATTTAACCATGAACTCTGGCCCTGACAACAGAAGCAAAGGAATAAACAAATAGTTTTTCTGGAATAAGGAAGGAAGATAGAGTGAATCAGGCCCTTTTTCCAGTGTTCCTCTAAAAATTAATAAATTAAGCACAAACCCTCTGGGTAACGTAAGTGCTTTCGCCTTCTCCGAGGACTTGCACATCCGTTGGTCAGCTGGGTTTTAGCCCTGGGAGGCACGTATCATAAATGCACATCCCTATTTTATCATTCGGAGTTCTTAGTCAAACACAGAACCCACTCTAGGCAACTTAGGTAGAAAAGGCATTTATTTTAAAAAACTAAGTCTCTCACCCTGGCCAGTTGCTCAGTGGTTAGAGCGTCGGCCCGTGGACCAGAGAGTCCCGGGTTCGGTTCCCGCTAAGGACACGTACCTCGGTTGCAATTCGTCCCCGGCCCCAGTTGGGGTCATGTGGGTGGCGGCCAGTCGATGTCTCTCTCTCTCTCCTCCTCCCTCTCTCCCTCCTGCTCTATCTGAAGATAAATGCAAAAATGTCCTCGGGTGAGGATAAAAAATAAAACAATTTTTTTAAAAATTAAGTCTCTCACAGAATTTTCACAGGGGCCAAAGAGTCAGGCTCCCATGGCCTCAAGATCAGTTTGCAGGTTGCCTCCTGCACATCACTTCTGAAGGGGTCATTCGCACTCTGCACAGATTTGTATTGTTACAATACACATTAGATGTGTATATCATAGCAACCTCCCAGCAGGTGGCAGTAGTGTGTCTACAAGGGGTGCCCTTGTCTAATTTTGCAGAGTCCATGGCCTGGAAGGCAGGGGCTCAGGGGGAGCCCCACACTGCAGCACCAGATAGCTCCTGCAGAGAGGTACTGTTGCTACTGCCGCTGCCAGGCACAGACCCCACAGCTCACCCCACTCACACGAGGCCCGCGACACTGGGACTCTGCTCAGGGGCCCACCCTCTGCCCAGAAAACAGATTCCACACGTCTGGATTTGCATTGTTCTAGCTGGTGCATCTGATTGGAAAAGCCGAGCCCCATGCTTCGGCTTGATTGCAGGTTGACTGGGGAAGTAAGCTTCTGGCTTCTTCTACCTTGAAAAGGAAGGATTCATGATGCAAATTCTCCAAACAGAAGAAGACTCCCAGTCATGGAGGGAGACCTCAAAACGTGTCACATAGCCATGCAGGATTTGCAG